CAGACTGGCGTGTACCTTCCTGATCTCTGCGAGCATGGTCGATCGTTGCGGTAGAAGGTGTGTCTCTAGGCAGAAGAGAGCTCAGCAGAGAATCACGGAGGTGGTCCATTTTGGAAAGCTGGCAATGATGAATGATGGTTCAATTAGGATTCATATAAGAGAAAGAAGACAGTGGGGAAGTGAAAGAGTCGATATAGTGGAACCAGACGGGGATTTAAAATCGCTGTAGGGGTCAACTCGAACGAGGGGACAGAGGGATTTTTCTCCCAGGGTTGGGATCCTCCAGGACCCCTACTAGGCAGCAACGTATGTTCTGACAGGCTGACAGCGCAATATCTGAATTTGGACTCGTGTATGCGCTGATAGGCTGAAATATTTTCTGTGTTGGCTGTCGATCAGCCGGTAGCCAAGACAGAATTACATGTCGATCATGCAGTCATCCAGCAGGCACTACGTGACAGATCACAAACCCTTCGTTGCTGCGAGTAAGTCTCCTACACCTCTCTGAATCCACTTCCGGGGCAGTGCACCTGGGTTCCCTTGTATGCAAAGTGGGGGATGAAGCTGAACTACGAGTGCTGAATCGACCCGTATGCCGCAGAGCATACAGCCTTGAGCGTTCCTCTCTTCAATATCTACAACTCGGGTATACTTTATATTTTGAATAGAATACACTCCTACACGCAACAAAACTAGCAGCTAGTTTATATTAGAAAGCACCATCATCTAGGGACGCAAAATAGTGGCGGTTGTAGATGGGGGCAATTCAGGGCTTGCTATCCAACACGGATGGAAAACCAGCCGTTTCTACTCCATAGCGTCAAATCCTGTTCTTTTGTTAATCCCAAGATTCTCATGTTTCATTTGCCAACTAATCAGATGATAATCAATCCACTCCAGCGAGCCTGTGTTGGGATCACGGGACGTGTGGTCACCTGACCCTACGTGCCAGGACTTCCAGTAGCTAGTTTCTCCCTCTCCTTCTTTTCCCCTCAGCCATATAAGAGTCTCCAGCTATTTCAGTTAGCACAATACAGTCGTATTGCTCTCTCTCTCTTCTCCTAGCTCGCCATTAGCCTGAGGCATAGAAGAGATACAAGGCCATTGGCCGACTTTTCTTTACCCCCTTAGGAAATCATCACGTCCGCCCTAAATATCAAAAGTAATACTGGAGCCTTTAGGTCTTAGTCCGTCTGTAGTTCCTCCTTACACCAAAATAACGATTTCATCTCCACCTCAATGATTTCTGAGATTATATACTATACGAAACTAAAAACGAGTCTTCATAATGACAACTTTGTCAATTTTGGTCTTTCTATTTCAAAGGACCTTTGATGACCATATATAGTATTTAGGGTTTTAATTGTGACACCAAAATTAAAGATTATTTCAGCGCTAGGCGAGAATCAGATCCAGGTCGGGCCGGATCACAAAAGACTTAGCGAATGAAACTTAGCGCATGAAAGGAATTGATCACCGGATGAAGTGTTACATCGTATGAACGCCCTAGTTCGTCGGACTTCCGCCCCAGCCTTGTAGCAGGCCACAAGGCTATGTATGCAGGGTTTGCGGCTCGACCAATGGGGCAGATCAGTAGTACCGTTAGCAATGAGCCAATGATAGCATTGCCTATTCTATATCCCGTATGGACGACATACTCATCTATTCGGGGATCTGAAGATCATTATACCTCCTTCCAACATCACCGAGAATGTAACGCCACCCAGAACTTCAATATTTTGCTATCGGATTGGTTGCCTCGATCCTTCTGCACGGGTTATCACACCCTAAAGTACTACAATTACCATCAACTCGGCTACTCCACCTAAAAGATCATACCAACTAATAAGTTGGGATTTTTTGGATACGTAAGACATATCTTTCATTGGATAGCGTAGGTGATCTTCGACCGCGGCCCCAATGATGACTGCATCGAATTTGAGGATGGTATTTGTCAAATATAGCAGGAAGTATCCGGCATTGTCTATATAAGACACCTTCACGGCGCTCCAATTTGTGAAGTATCAATCTCATCAACACCATTTCTATCTCAACTACTATACCGCATTCTTCTACAAGACCAATATTCCACCATGCAGATCACCAGCATTGCCATTTTCCTCTTCGCCGCAATGGGCGCGGTTGCCAGCCCCATCGCGACCGAGTCGGACGATCTTGTTGCCCGAGATGTACAGCTTAGTAAATTCGGAGGAGTAAGTTGTTCTTATGAGATGTCTATATAGAGATAACACTAACCTTTCTAAACCACTTTACAGGAATGCAGCTTGAAACACAACACGTGCACATACCGAAAGGGTGGAAAGGACCACGTAGTCAATTGTGGTTCGGCTGCCAACAAGAAGGTAAATTCCGATTCAATTTCAGGCCAATTTATCTGTTCTTATCATTCAATCTTCATCTACAGTGCAAGTCTGATCGCCACCACTGTGAATACGATGAGCACCACAAGACGGTTGACTGCCAGACCCCAGTTTGAACCAATTATAGCGTTCCGCAAGAAGCAGAATCCTTGGGTGTTTTGATAATTCCCTAGCTCATCATAGGCCTGAGATGGTTCATGTCTATCAATGCTAATGATCATACGTCAAGGAGGGCTTGGAATAAGCAGTGGATTCTGTCTGTGTTGGAGTGATATATTCGTACATTCCAAGTGTTTCTCTTGGTTTGCAGTTCTTGTTATCACCACACTCGTTCAGTATCTAGCTAGCTCTACTTTTTATCAAAATGTTGCCTATTGACTGCCTATTCTATTGAATAATATTACTAGTACCAGTAGCATTTCTGACAGTTTCCAAGGTTGTTGGCCAGCCGTAGATTTCGTTTACCCCGACCTCTCGCAAAGTTGATTTAACCACTAGACCGAAATCCGAATCCGTACCCAGCCTAGTGGATTGTGGTTTAGGATCCAACTCGCAAAGCGATATACAGGCTACAGCAACTATATATATCCGTGTATGTACATGTATGATGTCCCACTTCCTGAAAACAACTTTGAGTCTCGTCAAGGCCTATCGTGGCCTAGTTGCCGCTCATGTTATTAGTATTCTTCAATAATCCCGAATTCCTAATGCCTGTACTATCCCATTGCTAGAGACCGCCTTAAACGAACCCATATCCAGCAATGCTGCTATACTCGGCAAATCCGCCTTCATGCATACCGCAGTGCGGGCATTCGAAGTCTGGCTGAGTAGTTTTACCATCTCTCTCCGCGCGTCTTTCTCCCATCCTTCCTACCTTAGCCGCAAGGATGCAGGTGCGACACAGCCCTGGTATGTGAACGTACTATCCGGCATGCATACTCTTGAGATCTGACGTGTAAAACTCAGTTGGCGGTCATGAAGAGTGAGAGGAGCGATGCCACTGTCCAAGGATATGGGCGGAAGACCTGACCTAGCGGGGCCCCTAGAAAAGCGACAGGTTTACAGATTTTCGATCGCATCTCCCACAGAACTCTTGCTAGAAATGCTTGTTCATTTGATTAATTCGCTCGCAACTAGAGAAATGGTAGGCTGAAGGGGTTAAGCCATTTCCCTCCCCAATTGTCCCGTCTATCTGGAGCCCATAAATCCCTTGTACTAGTACTAATGGACCGGTCAAAACAACCAAATGGCCCACTAAGCAAAGACCACATACTTATATACGACGTAGCGATTACTTGATTTTGAGGAAATGACTTTCACGTATTATTTACTGAGATAGCTGCTATTAGATTATCCTCTATTCGCGGCTAGAACTGAGTGACGCTTGTCCTACAAATGATTAATAAAATCCTTACGACGACACCTTTGTCAACTTTGATGCGCTGCTTCCAGCGTTAAATATAGTAACGTCTTCTATTTCATTTCCGCCTTACTAGTTGTCTGTACGACTATACCCTCCCTAAAAGGGCTTGGAGGGGCTTCGGCTGCTAGTATTTAATCACCTTCCTATCGCTATTAAGCGCTCCGAGGATGGCAAGTATGAATTTTGCAAGTCAACAAGAGGTCTGGCGAACAGCCTTAGTGATCTCTCTAAAACATCTACCTTCCGGTGGTATAGCTAGCTGGGTCTAGAGGTACTCTAGCCCGGTATACTAGTGGTTAAGCAGCGCTTAAATGACGAATATAGCGCGTTGCTAGTCTTTAAAGACGACCACTTTATAGATCGCCACTACAATTAGTCTTTATATAAGTCCTTAAATTTCCATTGCCGGGTCCTATTATACTAAACAGCGTTACTTGTTGCAAACTCTATCCTCTGGCCGCTATTCTATTATCACACTGGTGAAATGACTTTCGACTTAGAAGGCATACAAAGTAGCTAATCGTCTTTTCGCTAACTATATTCTAATAAGGTTAGAGACAGTGATTTGGCCTACGTATATAACTTTATTAGTAAGATAGAAAGAAAAGTAGTAAGTTATTCTAAGTCTACTTGTTAATTGCTTACTAGAGTGTGACGGGCGAATATAGGTATTGATTTCTCTTCCCTTCCCTGGTGAAGTGGTTTATGTAGAGAATATGATATAACTTGAAATATGCTTTCCTTGATTTAATTTCTGCATATTTGGTCAGGAAAGTCTTTTGATACTCTCACCTAACTATGATGCGTAACGCTTTTGTATATAAGCTAACTGTGTCATGTCACGCACTATATATATCGGAGTTTAGTCTATCTGAGCATAACGCTCAGATATAGTGGTCTTTTTGGTCTAGTTTGTAACTCGCCAGTCTAGGGGCAGGTTGTAACAAACTGCCTAAAAATCAGCTTCATGTGCCTTTCTGTTCTAAAGCCTTCACCATTCTGTATGCCCACCGTCGGCTATTATTGTACTCCTAGTCATAAAGCTGCTCGCGTTGCTTATAAGGAGTAAGGTAATACCACGAAGTTCATCCGGTTACGCCAACCGTCCCACTATATTCTCAGATTCCCATATCTCCTTTGTCCCCGGCGTCTTATCTATGACTATCTGGGCTATAGGCGTCTTTATATGTCCGGAACTAAGGCAGTTTACTGGCTTCCCCTCTGCCTTCCTTATCGATCTTGCCCCATTCCATCGTAAAGCTTCTAGTGAGTTGGATCATAGCGGCCGCCGATAAATTATAGACGATATCATCCCTTGGTTCGTAATCAATCCACTCATACTCGAAACTAGTAGTATAGACCCGCGGGTTTTCTTGTTGAGCATTTGTGCTACTGCAGCCGTTGCAGACGTAAAAGCTCCAATGTAATTGGTGCTGATTACGCGTTCAATGTCAGCGGCAGAGTGAGCAGTCGCACCCCCGACGTGGTTTACCCCAGCTGCCACCACTAAGCCATCCAGACGATTCTTGTCTTCGGCGATTGCAGACATTACCTGGTTGCTGCCATCCCTGTCGCGGACATCCATCCGCCGATAATGGAGAGACCCCCCAAATTGGGGATTGGCTCGTGCCCGTGCAGCATGAAACTCCTCATCAGGCTCGGGTAGCCGATCAAGACAATGCACTATAACTCACGGCTCAATCGGTGTCCGAATCAATAGTGAGAGCATCACCTATTATGGTAGCGCGGACTTCGAGCTCATCTGCACACACGACGCCTTCTTCAACGCCACTTGTACAGCTCCTATTTTTGAAATCCCAGTTCTTAGCTCTAAATGGGTGTGATGCTGGAATTAGGAAGGTGCAGTGTATGTTGAGATCATATCAGATGCAAAGGTGTAAGGTCGAACTGAATGGTATATTCAAAACTGGAAAACCACTGGTGCAAAGAATAACAATCGAAATTAGTTGTTTGTGCATGATCTACCATTGGGAGGCTCGTATAAGAATTTCAATGTCAATCATCAACCGGACCCATTCTTCGTTCCCTACATCAACACTAGTTAGATACTCTAGTTTAGTCCCGATTGATCTTCTCGTCCTACAGCGATCTTTCATCCGAGTTACTGTGAGAGCCTGTCCCTCCCAATTCGTTAGCCAATATTCCCAAAGAACTATGCTTCTTGAATCCGACACAACTTGCAAGCGGATCAGGTACAAAAAGACATTGAAGGGCGTGCTCAGCGTACTCGAGGATAAACCAAGTATAATCTCTGCACCAAATTTCGAAACTAGTGACTCCCTCTACGCAAAACCTCAAAGATAGAGTGGAAAGTTAAAGCTCGAGTAACAAAAGAATCGACTGCGTGCCGGAAGATAAGAGAACGGATAGTTTATACTAGAACACTGGTTCCATTCCATTCTCATCCTAATTATGCGAGGTCTTCCCAATCCATCTAATAGCCTAAATGACTAGCTGCTGATATGGATAATTCTTGATTCATGTTTCGGGTTCAAGGTTAAGCCACTCTTCGCCGGAGGCTTTTGGGACTCAATTAATCACGGCGTTGAGGCTATCCTCAAGAATCGTTAATGCGGGCTGTCTTCGTTTTGTTCAAAGTGCTCCCTCGCCCAGGGGCTGCGTAGGCGAATGGATCTTCCCCTGTAGAAAAAAATGAATGGAATCGGCACAAGGAGAATGGAGATGAACCCTAAAAGACAGGAAGCCCATTCATAGTCCAGTTTCTCATACATCTGGGTGGCAAATAATGGGAACCCAGCACCGACAACATTGCGCGCCAGAATGACACCAGCAAGAGCCGAAGCGGAGTATGTTTGATAACTATCCACAACGTAGTTCAGAATACTCAGAATCACAATATAGATTCCGGCGCCAAAGAATGACGAGGCGATGATTGGTACAACCCAGTGGACCGACCGATAACTTGTCCACCCAAACCAGAATAGACTGATGGGAATGAGAATCGCACCCCCACGGGCCATCCACATCCGCGCCTCTGGAACACCTTTGCCACCATTCTCGGCAACACGGCGCAGATAATATCGTTCTTGAAGTGGGTAAAAACAGAATGCAATCAACGGTCCAATAGCCATTCCCAGGAAGGCAAGTCCCTGTTCACCGGTATTGAATGGGTGTCCATTCGGGGCGCCGAAAAACAGAGGGATTGCCTCATTGAAAAGATACACCAATCCGTATAGGAAGCCATTGTACATTGCCGAGAACAACGTGATAGGCTCCGAAAAAAGAAAACGAAAGGGACGCGTGAGGGTGATAGCGAATAGCACGTGCAACCCTTTTCTATCATTCGCATGAAGGTCGGTGGTGGATTCTGCAGATAGGAGATTTTCCTTCTTCATCTGCTTGCGCGCGCTTGGTCTTATTTTCAAGCACAGTGGTGTGTCGCGTCTCGGGAATTGTGGTTACCAACAAAACCCAGACGCCGCCCGTAAGTGATTTCTTATGAGTTAGCTACTAAACCTATTTAGGACTGCCCCACTTGAACAAAGAAAGTCATTTGCTACTAAGCCTATTTAGGAACTAGGTTAGAGCTTCAGTACATATATTCTTCACTCCAGGCATTCCTCCTTCTTTTATTTTCTTCTACCAATTTCTAATAGCTGGGCTCTGCAACACAGCTTTACATCTCACTCTTTTTTTTCTTAAACTTAAGTCTCAAGTGTTCACAACTCGGCTCATCCTTCTTGTCCTCGCTCCTATATTTGACGCAACCATCAGATCCCTGTTCTTGTGGCCTGTGGCACCAAGATGCCGTCCTATAAAGTCGTCAAGAAGAAGGCAACGACCAAACAAAAAATGATGAACGCGATCCTCGACTTACAAAATCAAGCGCACAAGCTCTCCTTCTCCCAGCTAAAGGCGTCAATTGCAAGTCTCACGTCAACAATTCAAGCAGACCAGTCCGAGCTACCGACAGTTGCAATTTCTTCTTTGAATCTTGGCGATATCCAAGTTATGCTTAAGTTGAATCATTCACTAAGTAACCTTGAGTTCCGCAACAAACCTCCGGTTGAGCTATCCCCGATCTGTAGTACGTATCCCTTAAGGAATATTCAAGCTAATGTAACATATGACTGACTTGACCCAGCCCAGTGGTTGGACATGACGAGAAACGCATTTGGGAAAAGCGAGCCAAATGAAGCATTAACTCGGATCACTCTGAACAACCTGCTTGTGTTCGCCCATCACTGTGTCACCTCGCAACCTGCCAGCACTTCTACGGACTTGAACATAAATGATTTGCACTTGAATGCTGAAGGCTTATGGCGGTATGGGCCGGTCACATATAAGGGTCTCAAGTACGACCTAGTTGGGCGCCCAGACTATAGCTTATGGTATGGCAACGAGGAAGACGTCGCAGTTAGTATTGTTGTGGTCGAAGCCAAGGGTAGCGCAGGTGCATCAAGCGGAGTCTCACAAACGCTTGGCTATATGGGTTGCGTGCACAGACGTCGGAAGGACCTCCAGAAATTGGATTCAACCGTATACGGTGTCGTGTCTGACGGCCAGTGGTGGGTCTTCTTAAAAATCAACAATGATTCAGAGGTGAGTAAATTTTACCATCACATCATACATATTCTAACTTGAATAGTGGACGGAGCATATGATTCCTGCTCGTCTTGGTAATTATCAAGAGGTGCTTGGTTTACTTGTGCATATGTTCCGTACTGCTGCGACTATGTCTCCTGTTCAGTTAGAGAAGACATCAGTCCAGACCCATTCAAAAGAGTCGTCTGGTGTTTCGTACATGGGGTTTGATCTAGATGCAGAGGAAGAGAGTAGCGATGAGGAAGAGGTCTAATGTTTCTGTTCTATTCTGTTCTTTTTTTATTTTTATCTCAAATGATCAACCCCTTCCGAAAGCTCACAGTCATGATAAAACAAGTACCACTTTTCCTAAAACTTAACAATGGAATGATGCGTCGTCCACCTAAGCACCGGATCCAAAATACGTTCCCAATAGGTAAACGGACCCTAAGGCGAAGTGCCTATGGATGGAGCCCTCGCCCCCACGCAGAAGTGACCTCAGTTTCTCCATAATATTCGACCCCTCAGAGCTTGACACAAAACCCAGTTTATGGTGCCGAAAAAGAAGCATCATTGGTAAATGCTTGGCGGTAAATGACTCCACTTGGGTTTTCCTTATACCCACTCTGTCGGTGAAGAGATGATTAGTAAGAATAATAACACTTCCAAGGATTCGACATAATTTCTTCCAACCGGTGGTGATGGATCTCCCGGCCCATGTACTTAATTTTAATATCACCACCCTTCCCATTGAAATCCTCCCATCGGATTGATCCAGTACTCCATCGAATCCGAAGGATTTGACACCTTCGGTAGTATCAGGGAACCCCTGTGTTCGTGCCAGGAAAATCTGCAGGAGTCTGCCACGGGAGGCGTGGGTCAGATTTCGGTCTGTCAGATCTCATAGGAACAAGAGAGAAACGCGAAGCTCTATCGCCACGTGACTACTTGGATCAGCGCTATTTCTGGCCGCTCACGGGATAAATAACTGTTTCTCTCTACCTCTCCCTCTTTCCCTTCCTCTTAGTTGAGTAATAACACAATCAATATCATTGCATTATGATCCACATAAAATATCTCCTCATTTCTCCCTAAAACGCGTTCCAACTCCATTGGGTCCCATTCCCGAGCCCGTCGCATTGGGAGGTCGGTGTACCCTCTGGTCTCCCATAGTCCGAGCTGTGAAATCAGTCTCACTGGTCGCGACGTCATCATTTTCTTGGAATGGTGGGCACTATCAAATCAAGCTATGCCTTTTGTTCAAAATACTCCCTTCTGCATGGAAGTTCCACCCAAACGTCAATTGTGCGATTGCGGCGCGTTTAGCAAAGGCGGTTACAAAATTCAGTGATCTACGTTGTTTACCACAATTTGAAATCCCCTTATATTGCGGTTTAGTCTCTAGCCTTCCGTCATATGCTCGTTTCCGTTATATGTACAGTTCCGCGAGGTCTAGCTCTCCCGATCATATGATAGCGGCTTGCGGCCTCAATTCTAGGAATTGCAATCAACATTTTAACAAGTATCCAGCATCTCAACAAGAGCAGCCTTCTCGTCCGAAGTGATGGTAAGATCATAGACTGATTTCACCTTCACCCACATCTTAGCATAAGTGCAGTAATATGAGGCTATCTCGACGTCAACCATTTATAGATCACACAATAAACACGGTTTAGGACGTACCCAGTGGGGGCTTCCAAGATTCTGGGCCTTTGTCGCCCTTTGAGGAATTCACGTTGTCGGTGACTGCTAAGAGCTGGGGGTTTTTGAGGTCATTGGCGAAAGCTTGGCGATCTGCTTTAGTCCAACTGGAGGCCCCGGACTGCCCATATTCATTAATAATTTAAGTCGTCTATTTTGTCAGATGAGCCGATCTTACCTTCCATGCGTTTGATAATGGGACGACATGGTCGATGTCAACATCACTTGCAGCTGTCCAGGTTTCGCCATCATACGGAGAAAACCAGGATCCACTGGTAGCACCGCAGCTAGAGCTTTGGACCACATCGGTTCCATCCCGTTTGAGGATCGTTTCGCGTGTGTCGCAATTTCTGTCAACAAAAATTTTGAGCTGCCAATACTTCAGAATCACAGTAATCTTACTCACCCGCTAATAGTAATCCAGTGCGGAAATTCGTCACGGCTATATCCATCCTGCGATCCCTGTGCAGCAACGGTCAATCCTGCCAGCTCACTCGTTGCAGTAGACGTAGACGGAATTCCAGGTGGTGATGGGGCAGGCAACGCTCCGCCTAGGAAAGGCTGAAAGGCGAAGGCCAGAACCCAGGCAGCGCGAGATATGCCCATTGTTGTTTTCTTTAGCAAATATCGATCGTTTTTCGATTGAACTGTGAATACCAACTGGAATGCGATGAGTAATCAAGTCTACAGTCAAGCATGGGTAAATACAGTGCATCTCCAAGTCGGAACTATAGATTTTATACTCCGGCTTTATCTGCAAGGTCGAGTCAAACCCCTCACATAAACAATGCTAATCCAAAACCGATTCCTTTCCAAATGCATTGTAACGTCGGCTCCCGAGTCTTGGCCCGGGACTTGGCGTTGCACGTTGATCAATCATTGGCTTGCAACTAGACAGCGCGGGAAGTGCGGGAGTTGTGCGGGAGTTGTGATTGATAACAAGCACATCATTCGCCGTAGATTCATATACGACAAGTCACCTGGGCCGGAAAGGGACCGGACGAGGGCCCTCGTGTAGAACGTTGAAACAGAAATCCGCCTGAAGGGGCAGCGACATTTAAATATGGAAATGATCGTCCAAGACCTTCCCCCTTTCTCGGTCTTGCGCCGCAGATTATTACCGCTACGTTGTACTTAGTGCTACAGTCCGCACTAGGACTCGGGACAGGGGAATCAAAGGGTTGCAATCAAAAAACATTAATCTATGGATGATGTGTGTCCACTCTACAGTAAGCCTCGGGAAAACTGCCATGGGAGAGATACCTTCACACCCAGTTTCTTGGCCGCCGTGAGCACCCATTCGGGCTCACGCAAAAATTGACGGGCCATTAACACGGCATCGGCCTGAGGCTTAGGGCCAGACAGCATTGCCTCGGTCGCCTGTGTCTCTTCTTCTGCGCCCTGAACAATATCGCGAGCGGACTCGGCCTCTGTAATAAAGCCAACAGCTCCAACCAGCGTAGTATGGTTAGCGGCGTGAATTTCTTGTCGAATTTGGCCAGCGAGATCAATCTGATAGTTCGTATGAAGCTCAATCCGTTGGCTTTTGTGATTACCGCCCGAACTGACATCCAAGAAGTCAATCCCCAGGTCTGGTAACAATTTGGCAAGTTGAATTGAGGATGGCATGTCCCAGCTTCCGGTTCCTACTGCGGCAGTTTGGTTCTCGAGCCAATCCGTCGCACTGATACGAAGAAACAAGGGCATTCCACTTGGCACGACGGCACGGATTGCAGTAGCCACCTCGCATAAGAACCGAGTTCGGTTCTCAAAACTGCCACCGTATTTGTCCGTTCGTCGATTGGTAACGGGGCTGAGGAATTGATGAAGCAGGTATCCGTGGGCACCATGGATCTCGATTACATCCACTCCTGCCTGTGCAGCAAGCTCTGCACTTCTTGCAAATGCCTGGACAAGTTCTTCAACCTCGGCCGTTTCAAGCTCGCGAGGGGGCCAGAATTGATCACCGGGTGCCCAAATTTGCTCTTCCCCGCCAGAGGGGCCAACCACATTTGATGGCCAGCCACCAACACTTTCATCAGCTTTGATGCCGCGTTGCTTCGCTTGGGCTGCGAGCCAGGGTGCCACTGTGCTAGCCTTCCGGCCGGCGTGGGCAAGCTGAATGCCGATTTTGGCCCCTTGACTATGAGCGAAATCCACCACGCGGCGGAGCCCTTTGAACTGTTCGGAGTCTGTCCCGTCCTGCCAAAGGCCTGAATCATTGGGCGAAATCCGACCATTGGGCTGAACGGATGTAGCTTCAATGAATATTAGACCGGCACCCTTTGTAGCCAAATGACCGAGATGCGCGATGTGAAAATCTGTGAGAGCGCCTACAGCCGGAGAAGTCGGGTCTGATTCAGTGGAGTACGTGCACATAGGCGCCACGATCACGCGATTCTTGAATGTAACATCTCGAATTTGTAAAGGGCGGAACAGCGTCGGGGTGTTGGGGTCCTGTGGGTTTACAGCTGCTCCAGCATTGTTGGCGGGGGTAAAATAAGGTAGACCCTCTGCCTGGTGGATTGGCGGGGAACTCAACGAAGTAGATCCCATTTGTATTTATTGTCTAAAAGATTGAGAATTAATTCAGAGCGATTCACAGACGTAGAGACGAAGAAATGCTCATTTATAAATACACTGGAGAACATCCCATCGGCTGACAAATTGACTGCTTTGGAATCCTAGAAGTCGCCACTTATCGGAGACAATGCCGAACAGCCGATGTCGGGACTTCCAATCGTCACAGGGGTTCAACTGATGACATTGAATAGGTATAGTATATATTGGCTGTTGGGCAAAAGGCTACATTATACAATAACACGGGACTGACAAATGCACCGAATTGAGACCCTATAACATAAAATGCATAAAATGACCAACTCTAGTTCTGACTGTAACTACCCCAAGGCTCACGATTACGGGCGACTAACTGTGCCACCAGATGATAGTATCCAATGAGAGATTTGTGTCCAGGTGGTACACGATCCACTAATAATCGTTCACCATGCAAGAAATGAGCTTATACAGGAATTCAATAAGGATCTACCCAACCACCCGTTCCATCTCGGCATCCTTTGCAAAGACTTGGAATCCTAGCATACCCTGGTCGAAAATAATTGACATATTTTTGCCATTCTTTGGAGTGAGGAGCAATTCTTTTCTTCAATGGATGAATACAACCAGAAAATTCTCCCAGACACTGAGCCGTAAAACATCTGTCAAGGTCGAGAATCCAAAAATGACCGCAACCATAGCGACCTGTATGATCAAGGACTTCTAGCAAGCACATCTATATACCATAGTCAGAAACCATCAGATAATCCTGCAAATAGTTTCACTTGCCTCCAAGTTTTATTTGTCCTTGATTCTATTAGAGGTCCGCGACTTTAAACCCGTGATACTATAATCTCAACACCTGACTGTTGTAAGAGTGTCCTTGCGAGAAGTAATTATAGCATTGGGAAGACCTATATAGAATATTATGCCCTCACTATCGTTTTATTACAGACTATACTAGTTGGACATTCCAACTGATACAAAGAAAGTTGACTGTATGATCTTTGCCTGAAACGTCCTTGCTACATAGTATTCTCAACTAAAGAAAGAAAGGGCACTAGAAGTCTGACTATTGTTTCTTTGAACTGGGATGTCTGAGCTGCTATGAAGATCAACAAAGCCATCCGAAACAACAAAAGACAAGCAGTTGGAGAAGAAGATAAATTCATAAAATAACAGAAGTCTAGAATAAATATGTAATTCCTTTGCAGGTTACACCATTTCTCAATCTCATATGGTTATATATGTATCAACGAAAAATAGCCAATAGCATCAAATCTGCACGTTGCTTGTCCACCCCCCCAAAAAAACATCAACTTCGACATCCCCCTCACTTTCAGGCAGCTAACTACCCTCGCTACTTTTTTGCTTTTCTCTCAGCTTCTGAAAGTTATATTTTTCAATACATCAGCTCTACCCAGCCTCGACTTCACCGAGTCAACAAGTCAACTACCCTTGCTATCTTTGCTTTCCCCCCCCCCCCCACATCGATAATATATCACCATGGTTACAACAGTCTTCACTAATGGCCGTGTCCTCTTTCCCGGCTTGTGGGGTGGCTTTGTCTCTACCCTGGTAATCGAGGACGACCATATCATGCACGTCGGCTGGGACCATGACCAAGCAGTTGTTCGGGTTCAAGCGACAGCATCAACAGTGGACTTGAAAAATCGAATGGTCCTCCCGGGCTTTATTGATGGCCATGTACACGTCCTCAATTTCGGTATGTCGCTGCAGAAACTCGACCTTCTGCCTTGCAAGAACCTCGCAGATATCCAAAATGCCATCACTTCCTACGCAGCGATTCATCCATCCGATCCACGGATTCTGTGCCGAGGCTGGGTCCAGTCGGTTACGGATGGCAACGCTCTTGCAACAGCCTTGGATGACTTAGATCCGCGACCGATCTACATCGAGGCACTGGACCTCCACTCAACGTGGTGCAATAATGCAGCTCTCAAAGAGCTAGAGGCTCACTCGAAATCCGACCCTCCAGGGGGAAAGATTCATCGCTGCCACAACGGGATGCCGTCTGGCTTGCTTGAAGAAGCTGCGCAGTTCGATATCGTCTGGCCATTTTTGGACCGAGTCACGTCCATGGAGAAGAAGGTAGCTGCGATTGATGCTGCGATCAGTGCGCATCAACGTGCTGGGTATACTGGACTCGTGGATATGGCTATGGGAGAGAGTGAGTGGGAGGCATTGAATCACTACAGAAACCAACGTGGTGAACTTCCGATGCATGTGGCAGCACACTGGTTGGTGCCCTACTCAAAATGTGATTCCGACATCTGCGATTATATTGATCGCGCCATTGAGCTTCAACAAACTTTCAACCGCAAAACCTCCCCGGAGTTTTGTATCAATGGCATCAAGCTCCTCTGTGACGGCACTGTGGATGGGTGTACAGCGGGACTACACCAGCCGTATGGCAGATTTTCCAACATTGTCGATCCCATATGGCCTGTTGATGCCCTTGCAGCAGCTATTCGCCGCGCTACCGATGCCGACCTGCAGTGCGCCATTCACGCAATCGGGGATCGAACAGTGCAACAGGCTATTGACTGTTTATCGCAGATTCAGAACCTGCCAGCCTGTCGTCATCGTATTGAACACCTAGAGATAACAACTCGCAAAGACGCGAGAAGGCTTGGCCAACTGGGGATAGTGGCCTCAGTCCAACCTGTTCACCTAGACCCAGCGACCTTTGACGGATGGCCGGAGATGCTTGGGATTCAGCGTTGCAAGCGAGCTTTCGCGTACCAAGACTTCGTCGATGCCGGTGCTCATTTGGCCTTTGGGACCGATGCCCCCACTGCGGGGCATCACGCACTGTCGAATCTTTACATTGCTACTACTCGGCGGTCATCTATCGATCCCTCCTTGCAAGGTACCGTCAACCCTGAATTCACAGTTTCCCTCGCGACAGCTGTCTCAGCAGCTACTGCGGGGGCTGCGTATGCGTCCTTTTCAGACTCGTGGACAGGGAGTCTACTTCCGGGATTAAGTGCCAATTTTGTTGTATTGGATATGATCTGGGACCCGGAATCTCTGTTAGAAGCTCGGGTGTGTCAAACCTGGTATAAGGGAAAGAAAGTGTTTGATGAAGAGGCGGGTGGGCTGTGATTTGAGGACTCTCTCCTTTCGAAGAACAATATTAAAACAGCACTGGAGAAACAATGAAACAACATCCCTTGTGGGTGGTCACATATGTAAAATGTCCCTGTTTAAAAAATACTCTGCTTCCGCTATTGTACAGTCAAATCTCACACGCCAACGGTCTCTCGATGGATTATACGACACTTCCAACTCAAACACTTGCGTCCTCAATATGAATGGCTGTGCTCATTCCTTTTCCATTCTCCATTCTCTCCGATCTTGTCCATCTCCAGATTTGTAGCAGTGGCAATGTCTTCTCCAAAAAATTTTGTTATCTCTTCCAGAAGCATTGATCGTGTCTCGACGTAAAGGAAATAGATGACGACCACTTCCACCATCAACAAACAGGAGAGAAGATGGAATAGCGCTAGTGTGTTGTCAACAGTGATTGGATTGACATATTGATTGAAGAAGAACGTGATATACATCGCGAACTCCATGATCGTATATCCTTTGGCTCGCATGGCGTATGGAAGAATATCCGTGGCATGACTTACCATCAAACCGGACCTACTCCATGTCAGCAATCATAGTGGCCAATTCACCATGGCAAACGCACTTCAGATTGTAAAATAGATGGTATATGAAGATCATACCCAGCAGTCCGGACCCAAGTGCTGAGTTCGCATGGTCATAATACTTTACTGACAGGATTGTCCACGCCACAAAAGCGACCATCATGCCCCCATTTATCAACAAAGAAGCTGAAGAAAAAATTGATGGTGAGACTGAAATTCCCTCTCTACAAAGACGAGCACCGATTCTTGACAATTGGATACGACTTCCACTCCCAACACGTCATTTCGAACGAACTGAATCAAGCAAAGTCATTCTCGCAAAGCGACACTCAAGGTATGGAATCCCAGAATTTCATTTCTTTCAAAATTGGCTACACCAAGACTTCTCTGCAATTCTTCTTCCGGATGGGTGAAGCAGACTGGCATGATTTGGCGACAGTTGACACGGCCATCATGACGGATTACGATTTTAGGGGCCCCGTCATTGGGATTTTTGCCATTGGGGAGGATATTGCGGTGGAATTTGGAGACTTTCAAGTCGATATTGTGTAAGGTCCACCGAAGGGTTCATCCGACAAGTATCATCAAGTCGATAAGCTCAAAATGGGGATTCATGTTGATTTTGTCCTTTTCTAAATGCTTCCAGGCTTGAGCTTCCGCAAATCTTCTGCTGTCCAATCGGTTACTAGCATGTGGCCGGGTTCGTGGGCAAAGACTAGGCCTTCAATTTTGTCACTTGCTGCTTCAACGGCAATTTGTGGTGTAACTCCACAAGCCTAGAATGAAGTCAGATCAATACATCCATGTTGTCATGTGACTGTGTAGAACTTACCCAAAACACAGGAACTTCTCCATCCTCGAATGTTTGCGGTTCTCCAAATTCCGGCTTTGCCACATCAAGAATTCCGAGTTGTTTTGCACCATCCCATCCCCAGGCGACAGGCTCTCCATGTGTCGACAGATAGGCCCGGGTTATCCCCCTCACTCTCTCGATATGCTCCGGGCGATACGGTCGCATGGATACAATACAGTGGCCGCCAGTGAATATTCCAGCGGGTAGCAGGGGAATGTTTGATCGGAACATTGCAACTATAGTGCCAGACTTTTGGTGACGCGGTGGCAACCCTGCCGCCGTTAGGGCATCCTCAAATGAGAACGAGCACCCGATCAAAAAGCCCACATGATCCTTGGTCCATACATCGGACAAGTCACGACGACTCTCAATGCACTTCCCGCCCGAGTATACTCGATATTTGGGGAAATCTGTCCGAATATCAAAATCTTCGGACCGAATACACTCTGCCGGTCGGACGGCACTTGGGTTCCCAGGAACAGCGGTCATTCCCAGCAGGGGACAAGGAACTGGGTTACGCAAACACAAATCATGGAAATCTGCGGCATATTTTGAGGGAAGTACCAGAAGATTTGCTTGTAAGTATCCCGGTGCAACACCTGCGGTATTGGTGAGTTGATTATAACGACAGCGCAGTCGTGCCTCTTGGGAGGTGATATTGTTCATATTGTCCTGCTCTAATTTGTTTAAATTTTTTGTTTGGCAAGGTAACAAGTTAAACACCCTATTAATATTCTCCTACCTATTTTCCTATCGTATTAGTACATTAACTTCATATCATAACATAGTATCTACCCCTATAAGATAACCTCGGTTATCAATCGGGGTCCACATACCGATGTGTCTGGGGAAAAGGTTGGGGAAAACCCCACAGAGAGATAATAACCTTGGAACCAGATAACCCACCAGATGATAAGCACAAAATAGGCCTATCGACTTGCCTCTTCGGGTTAGGATCGGTACGGATCAACGGATTGGCTTGCATTAGTGGTGGATATCCCCTGGACCACTGTTATCATTGGCCAATATTCGCTCTTTCTCATATGCTTTGACCCTTGCTTTTCGCCCGTCAAATTTCTTAACTTCCGTCTCTTATCACTGCCATCGGCCCGATGGATCCACTCACACTTGACTTGTATCGCTGTGGAAGATACGAAGATAGGCCATGTCACTATGATCCACTATGTATGAAAACACTCTTTAAGTCAATTAGTTCTTTTAACAATCTTGATATTTTGCTACAACCTCATCGCAGCCATGTCACATGATACCGTTCACGATACCCCTTTAGAGCTTAAAGATTCCCTAAAACAGGAGGATGTCGAAGAAGCAAACTATGCCGTCGCCGGCGAGTCTTTAGATGTGGTGCTGGATCCAAAGAAAGAGGCAAAATTGCTCGCCAAGTTGGATGCTGCCTTTGTACCCATCATCATGTTGACCTATCTCACTTGTTTCCTGGACAGATCGAGTATCGGTGAGTTTTATTGAATCTCCATGAAAAGGAGCACGAACTCATAATGTTCAGGGAATGTCAAGGTTGCCAATATGCCCGAGGATATCAATGCCTCACCAGAAGAGTTTTCAACCGCTGTCTCCATCTTCTATGTAACTTATGTTCTTTTCGAAGCACCATGGGCCGTCATGATGAAGAAGTTGACACCTCGCAATATCCTGACGGGGCTCTGTATCGTTTGGTCTCTGACCACCATCTTCACCGGATTTATCCAGTCGGTAGGCTCTCTCTATGCCACTCGTCTTATCTTGGGTGTTTGCGAAGCTGGGCTGTTCCCTTGTCTCAATCTCTACCTGACCATGGTCTATCGTCGAGAGGAGCAAGCAAAGCGTGTTTCCTACTTAATGAGTTGCGCTGCCATCTCGGGGGCTGTGGGTGGTCTCTTGGCCTACGGGCTCTTGCAAATGGACGGGGTTGGTGGCAAAGCAGGATGGAGGTACGCTTTCCTTTATCCTTAAAACAGTCATCGTTGCTTACCGTATCCCTTTCAAGATGGGTCTATATCATTGAAGGCCTGTTCAGCATCATCTGTGCACTTCTCATTTGGTTCGGCTTGCCAAACAACCCGGCCGACGCCTACTTCCTCACCGAAGAGGAGAAATGGATGATGCAGGTACGGAACGAGCAGCGTCGCAAGTACATGGGAGGCGAAGAGTTTAGCTGGGAAGAGATGCGCATCGCAATCAGAGATCCCAAGTTGATGTTCAGCAGTGTCATCCAGTTCTGTCAGGATATTCTCTTGTATGGGTTCAGCACGTTCCTGCCCACTATCTTGGGTGGCATGGGCTATGACTCCCTAATGAGCAACGTCTTGACTGTCCCAGTCTATGTCTGGGCTGCAATGATCTTTATTGCAATTGCTTGGTGCTCAGACAGATACTCCAAATTTGCATCGGTGTGTATAACCCGTTACGATATCCAATGAATCGTTCCTCGCTAACCTTTTCACAGTACATCTTCGCGGCCAATATCTTCGGGGTTGTGGGTTACATTATACTTCTCACGGTAGACAATACTTCCGTCCTATATTTTGGCACTTTCCTCATCGGCATCACCACCTACACGTCCGTTGGTCTCAACGTCGCCTGGCTGAATGTGAACATAGCTCCACAATACCGTCGTGCACTCGCGATTGGCCTCCAGCAGACAATCGGAAATTGTGCTGGTATAGTTGCCGGGCAGGTGTATCGCACATCACCCTATGTGTTGGGTAACTCCTTTTCCTTGGGGTCCCTGGTGGTAGCCCAACTAACAGTAACTGGTTATGGTCTCTACTTGCGGCGGGAGAACAAGGTGAAGGAGGAAATTATCAGTGGTGAAAGGGAAGAGACTCGACGAGTTCGGACGGGTGATGGAGAATTGGAATTCAAATATATCTACTAGATCAGCGTTGATGTTGGCAACGTAGAACCAGGAAGAAATAAAATCCCGGGAGGAATTCACGCTCTCACAGACCCAAAGACAACCTTGGATATTGTCAAATTTAATCTCTACCACCTATTTTGCTCAAAATCGCATAGATAACTGCACGGTAGATGTTGTACATAATCAGAAGAAGTCTTTCATCACGCCTGACAATTCTTCGCCGTAATCAAACACAAACCCCCCGTCGGGCATCTGCTGGTAAGGTCCTCCATCTGCCACAGGGCCAGTTCCCATTCCCATTATTTGATCCTCCACATTTCCCACGGCTTCGAACCACTCCATCAACTCTTGTGTCATTTGTTCCCCGTCCTGCGTTGTCCGACTCTGGGTGCTGGCAGATTGGGGCAATGCGGGAGAGGTGTTCACATTCAAAGGTTCACCTTCATCCCCCGCTTCGATGTCAAGGCGCTTTTTCTGGATCCCGAGGCCTAATTGAGGACCAAGCTTACGGAGGCTTCGAATAGATTTCCATAATCGGCGAGAGATATAAGACTGGGCTGAGACTCCTTTGACCAGCTCCAGAGCCCAGTAAAACTCCTCCTTACATGACCCACTGAATTGTTTCGGGGCCTGGGCTACTGCCAGGAACAAAGCTGCAAGGGCTGAGACGAGGAACCAATTAAATGCCACCTGCTGTAAATGGTAGATGTCCGATGTATCGTTCAAGCGGGTAATGAAGCGAATTGTATCTTTGGCAATTTCCACCACGGTCTCGGACTCGCCTGGATATCGCATGACATGTGCTGAAGTATGAAGGACGGGACGGTGAATGAGCAGACGTAGCTGATTAGCACGAAGATAAAGCAGGGCACGCAGTCTGCGCAGGCTCCGTGAGCCTTCCGTGGCAGTCTCAGACTTTGCAGAACTCGAATGATCGAGTCGCAACGAGTCTGGAATAGCATGCACCCAACGTAACACCTGCCAATCCAAATAGTTCATTTCCTCCTTTTTGATTTCGTTCGTGTTGTTAAATGCTGATATGAACTTCCATACCTTCGCTGCGATCCGGCTGTACCGAATCATCATGCGCAGATAGGGTGTATTCTCGGCGGGCTCTGGCAGGCAAGGATCAATATCTGTATCTTCCAGGGCAAACGGCATGCCAGTCCCAAAGCTCCAGCGCATATCCAGAATGTATATAGACCAGAAGAGTCGCAGAACACGATCCTTCCCCACAGCTATGATGGCCGGTTGGCTCAGAGTCTCCCGTCGATGAAGACCTTTTTCGAGGCACATACGCTCAACAATACCAACGGTACGCCACGCCAAAATTTCCTCGTCGATTTGAAAATAGAACATTGACTATTTATAGAATCAGCACGTCGAGCATTCATGTTTTATCAGGCATAACGAACCACGAGAGTCAAAAATACAATGTTCTTGATTTTGGGCGGACCCCAGACACAATTGTCCTGAACTTCTCGTACACTGTCAAAAAGAGCAATAGCCTGTTCACTTCGACCACTGGCTTCGGCTGTCAATGCACACGCAAACACTACACATAGAATATGGACGTCTTCACGAGCCAGTCCATTGTGTCCATCAGGCTGGCGGGTCGGACCAAGGGCACGGTTCGTTGGGCCGTAGAGAAGATGAACCTGGTCCAAAATCTCGGTAAGCTCCAGAACCGGGTACATAATGCCCATTTCCTCCTCGTAGACGTGGCAAAGGCGAAGTGCCTCGGCTTCAGGTAAAATCCAAAGTGGATCGAGGGTCTGGCGCGTTCCAATTTTCTCATTTGGAGCCGATGGTGATGCCAGCGGTGAAGGTTCTTGGGTCATATCGCCCTCGTCACCAGCCTCGGCACGCTCCACAATCCCGCGTTGCTGCAGACTAGATTTCGCGAGGTCGAAGCTGAAGGCCGATGTCGTCGGGCCTTGGAATGACGTTTCTCTAGCTGTTGAAAGTCTCCTCGGTGAACGCTGGGCAGGGAGCTGTCCATATGTGCCGGTAGTAGAAGCACTTCCAGGAGAATGTTCGCTGCTGGCTATTGACCGAATGCTAGCAGACAGCTGGGTAATCTGGTCCTGCACTCCCCTCATTTGGTCAAAAAGCCGCTTGAAGTTGCTTTAAATGCAAAATTAGTTCATGTCCAAACGCACCGAGCTGGGGTGGGCATTACTCTTCGGTGGGACTGTCTCGAGAGTTCTCGACGTAAATGCACTCAATATTCTGGCGTCCGCACCGCTGACAGGGTAATTGGCCATTGCATTTGATTTTGCGACGTTTACATCCATTGCTTCATGATTTTGTTAGCACTCGATCTCGAATAGCATCGTTTTTTTCTTTTCCTTTTTTTTTTTTTTCAAACTGACCAGGCTTTGGCGATGTATTTGCGGCGTTTCTTCGGGCGATCATCATTTGTATCGTTCACCGTTAGGTTATCCCAGCTATCCGGAACAGGATACATCTGCAGAGTATTCATCATCCCAAACGTTGTAATTTAGTGCGATCGGATATCAGGTCAAGTCGATGAAACTGGGTGAAGGGTGAATGAAGAAGAGTGTGGAGTCGAGAGAAAATGCGGGGCAATTCCGTACCAGAAGACTCGGGGTACTCGAGTTATACCCCTGGGCAAAAAAGATGACTGAGAAAGTATCCAAAGAATCAAGAGATATTACGAGATTCAAGGTTTCTACGATATACTCAAATGATCACCCCGAACTCCTGTCAATTCGGTTTCCTAAAGGCATACGGAGAGACTTAGAGAGGCCAAAGTCGGCGTCTATATAGGTCTGTATCTATATATCAACACTTCATCTTTATTTTCATTTTCACTCATTTTAGTACATACATTACATACATGGCCTCGGGTGAATAGAGGAAATATCATGAAATAAAACTTTAAAAGTCCAAAATAATCTCCTCTTATAGATCCTTGGTGCGTTCATCGCTCTCGGCGATCCACTGCTCAAGCTTCTTAGGGTCGCGTGCGCTAAAGCCGACCTTGAATGGCTTTGGCTCGGTTGTCAAGGCTGTGGGAATCAAATTGCACTCGATTGCATTAAGAATTGGTCGGTCGGCCGCCTCCTTCGCCGTGTGCATATGGAAAGCAGTGATGAGACGGATAAAGGCAGTGAACAGCTCACGATTGGCGAGATGTGAGCCTGCACACATCCGTGATCCCGCTCCATATGCATAGTGTGGAGTGCCTGTGCCCTCATTGGCCGCCAAATAACGCTCCGGGATGAATTTATCGGCATGCTTGAAGTGATCTTCGTCATAATCGGCAGCCCAGGCATTCTAGAGATTTCTGTTAGCAAACTCCGAAGAGGACAGAAGCAAGGAGCAACATACCATGAAGAAAGTCGTGCCAGCAGGGATTGTGGCTCCATTCCACTGGATATCCTTGGTGCTCTCGCGCGGCAGACAAATAGGGATGACCGTCCAGAACCGCAGGATCTCCTTGACCAATGCAGTCACATAAGGCACCTTCTCCTCTACCAAGCATTTCTCCCAAGCATCCCCGTTCGGGTAAACCTCCATGATCGCATCATAGGCCTTTTTCTGAATTCTTTGGCCGTCTTCGGATGCCAGATAAGCAATTCCCATAATCAAGTTACCCGGCACAGTGTCAAGACCAGCCGACACCATGGTCAAACAAATCGATTTCACCTCGGCTATACGATAGATGAGTACTCATTTCGACATGTACGGGATCATTTGTAACTCACCATCGTTCAGCTTAGCCTCGGGATCCTTCAAGATATTTCCAGTGATGCAAGGCTTATCGGTGCCCTTGGCGATCCGATCCTTGAGCATATCGAGCAAGTAGGTCAGATATTTATCACGGCGACCCCGGAAGTCTGCAGCCTCATTGTTCATCTTGGGGAAGATGCGTAATATGGGAATGTAATCCTGCCAGTTGTTCGAAGTGCTACGGAAGTTGGATACACCACGTTCCACGTCCACAATTTCATGTAGCAGTGTATCATCCACGTTGCCCTCGATGCGGAAACCATAGTTCAGAGTCAAACTGGTGTTGAGGGCGAAGCGCTGGAAATATGCAGTGGGATTCACGTCACGTTTCCCATTCTGGCTGTCCCGATACAGCTCTTTAATGCTGGAATTGGATTCGAGATCGATGATGGGCATATACGATTGCACCGCCGGTCGATTCAGCGCAGTGGCAGCAGCCTTGCGACGGCTCTTGCAGGAATCATCCCACGGGGAAGTTCCGATCGTGAACCCCTGTGAGCTGGAGACGACGCTGTGGAAGGTGTGGAAAGTTGGGCGGGAGATCAGAGCGGACGAGTCCTTAATCCACAATTGACGGACGGATTCAAAGCTGTTGGCAAACACGATGCGCTATGAGAGTATTAAATTAGAAATTCAATTCTGTACATAGACATCTTCGATTCCAAAGCGAAACATTTACCTTGTTTCCCATGCGCACTTGGAAAACAGGGCCAAATTTCTTTGCCCATTTCCCCGTGACTGTTGCATGTTGATCTCCTAACTGCAAGAGGTTGCCAAATATGGGTATGCCAGGGATTTCCGGGATGCCTTTAATCTTGGGGATATCGGTGCGGTTGAAATAACGAATGATGAAATAAACCACCGTGCCGATGGCGATTGCAAGTGTTTGAATTGCCATGATCAAGTAGAATTGACAAGTTTGACAAGTTGACAAGTTGACAAGGATTGTAGAATTTTGTGACTAGGTGGGAGACGGCGGCGCATGCACCTCTTATAACCCCTCTACTTCTCAGGGTTCTTCTGTTTAGCTCGGCTACGGCATATTTCCGAGTTTAGAGACTCATATGATTCTAGAAAGAAAGCTGTCGGTGACATGACATAACACCTAGCCAGTCATAAGTGACAGAATCAGCAAAAGCATTTCCCCATACCTCTGAACTATTCACCAAGTCGAGATGGTCTCCACTGCGCATTGACGGAACGTTCATTCCGCCCCTTGTTAGCGACTTCCCCGCGGAACCATCACACTTGAATTCCCGCTAATAACAGGATGATAGGATGATAGGATGATAGGATGGTAGGTAGGATACTTGAAAATGCATTCGATTGATATCCTAAAGTAGGATATCATATATGGACAATTTTGAAGGGGTAAGCGTGAAGACCAACTCGAGCCTCATATATGAAATATATACATATATATACATACACTCATGGATATATAGTGTAGCTAAACATCTAAATACTACATGTACATATGTATGTAGTTAACTAGAAGAATGTAACTAGTTAGTTAGTTATAGCACAACACAACTGACAGCTACCTCGACACCTAATCACCAAGGCATCAATCAGGTGACCATACGCGTCGGTCTCACTGTACAATATATCCATGGATCCACGGGTAGCTTCACTTCTTCACTTCGGTGTACGGCGGATTGATGTCTTCCCATCCATTTCTTCCGCTTGCCTCCTCTCCGGCGTCCCCTTCACCCATTTTACGTCCGCGACGCCCAAGCCTGGAACCGGAACGTGAAATCCTTTCCACTAGAGGCCAACGCTTAGTGAACCTTTTACCTTCTCGCACATCTAGCCTTGCCTTGCATGACCTCGATGATGATACATCTGAAAGGCAACTTATTCTTCGACGCGGATCGTTGTTGATTGGACACAGCAATCCTCGATATGAATGGTACTATCTCTCTCCCTTCTGACGCAATTCCAGTCCTAACCCGCGTCGCAGGCAACGCTACTACAAATCACCTGAGTCACTAAGAGATCTCCCAAAGGCAATGTTGGTTTAAGGCTCATCTCAATGAACTAGGGACTGACTCCCAAAATAGTCGGAAATATCATGAACGAAACAATGGACTGATCTCCCAATATCTTTACATTGACCGACTACTGGACTCTTCCCTACCCCATAACCTGATCGAGGATTACAACGGATGCAATAACCATGTTTCTGGAAACGGAATTCTTCAACCACCCTCGCTGGAAGATAATCAAGCCGAGGCACCAGAACCCAATCCTAAGATTGGAAGGATCAAACGCACCCCACATAATCTTTATCGGATTCCCGATGAGACAACACCCTTGGTCCAATCTCCCGAGGCAGAAAATGGCCCATTAGATCCATTCCCTGATCTTGAATCGCATGGCGGGATGGCCCCAGATGACGAGGAGCGCGTCGTCAACCTGGCTATTCGCATCAATTTTGTCGCCAACGTTGCTCTCCTAGCCTCCAAGATCGCTATCATGGCAATGACCAGCTCCATGTCTATGCTAGCCGGTCTAGTTGATGGGGTTTTGGACTTTCTCAGCACAGTGATTGTCTGGGTGACCACCATTATGATCCGCCGACAAGATCGCAACCGGTATCCTATTAGCCGACGGCGATTAGAGCCCATTAGTGTGTTAATCTTCTCGGTGATCATGGTGACTTCCTTTTTCCAGGTAGCACTGTCGTCTATCAAACAATTGCTTGGAGATGACCGTACGGTTGTTGAGCTATCTATACCATCTATCGCATTGATGGGTGGTACTGTTTTGGTTAAGCTGCTCTGCTGGATCTGGTGCCGGTTGATTCCTAGCCCTAGCGTCCAAGCCTTGGCCCAGGATGCCATGACTGACGTTGTTTTCAACACGTTTAGCATCATCTTCCCACTAAGTAAGTCTTAATTCTTGTTTCTTATTCCTGTTCGCTACTAGGGCACCACCTAACTGGCAACGATCGCAGTTGGTACTGTTGCAAATATCTGGTACTTAGATCCCCTGGGTGGCCTGATCCTCTCCTTTTACATAATGTGGAACTGGGGTCAGACGGCTACCGAATACATCCAGCGGTTGACAGGTGCAGCTGCCTCTCCCGACGATCATAGCATTTTGCTGTATATGACCATGCGGTTCTCCAGAGTGATTCACAAAATTCAGGATTTGAAAGCCTACTACGCAAGTGACAAGCTGAACGTTGAGGTTGACCTTGTTGTGGATGAAAAGATCAGTTTACGGGACAGTCATGACGTTGGCGAGAGTTTGCAGTACATCATCGAGAGTGTGCCGACAGTCGACCGTGCTTTCGTGCATTTGGACTATGACGAGTGGAACCTGCCCAGCCATATGAATCAGATGGAGCGGTAACACATGTCGGATGAGGGCACCACGCCATTTTTTCACTTAGGCACTGTAGATATTAAGTTAACATTACAAACTTGTACAGATTCATTACATCAAGGTTTGACACATAAAATCATTCATCTAGTTATACATATAAACCATGATCAATTGAATATCCTCGCTGGCAAAGACGCCAGGACGCTAAACAAGAGAAAGAAACACAAAGACGACAAATTAATGTACAACCGAACCCATTAGGGTCTTACACTCCACATGAAGTTCATTCCAATCAATCGAGCCCGGGACCCTAGCGAGGAGGTTGCGAAGGCGGCGGTAGCCCGCCTTGAGCCGACCCATGGCTGTAGACACGGTGATGTGTCGGGGTGGAGACAGTGTCACCAAGCGATCCTGCGGGTCGTTGGTGGAGCGGTGGTATCGACCCAGGGGCGGATGACTGGGGAGCATAACTGCCCATGGTGCCTCCGCTGATGGAGGGGTGTAGACCCGATGGTGGAGTGTATGAACGACCGAGGCTCGCCAGCGATGCCATTGACCGGCCAGCCTGGGACTGGGGAGGAGGAGTGTTGTGCCCGTACTGCGAAGGGGCATTGGGTAAATTGACGGGTGTTGAGCGATGGGATTGCGGCTGATGTGACCCACTGACCATTGTTTGCACATGTTGTTGATAGCTGTGTTGTTGGACTGGATTTGGCGTTACGGACTGACGCGGATGCATACCATACAGGCTAGCCGAAGACTGCGCTGGTGTTGGTGGGTCTTGTCGCGATCCATATGCCATACTAGAACGCGGGCCAGGTGACGCTTGTCGGTAGGAAGTCGGTTGCGAGGCCATATCTCGGGAGCCAGAGGTCATGTGTGGTTGAGCAGAGGCTTGGGAGAAAACGTTGGGATAAGCCGATCGTTGAGAGGTATTTGTTGGCGGGGGAGTCGGTGCTGGGGATGGCGCGGGAAGATTTGTCAAGGAAGATTGGCTCGGGGTTGCCGCGTAAGATGAATAGGAACCCTGACGGCCGCGTTGCTGCTGCTGTGGTGGCAGGGATTGGGCTTGAGGCTGCGGTGGAGTTTGTTGCGCCCGTGGGTCAAACCGTGCCATCCAGTCATTGTTGGCCGACGTGCCCGAGCCACCATGAGGGGGCCCATAGCCAGGATACTCTGAGTAGCGAGACGATGGCTGATATTGGGTTTGCTGGGCGTAACTAGAAGGCTTTTGCGGCATACCTGACATAATACTGTCTTCATGGCGAGGGGCTCCGCTCGCCTGGTATACAGGCCTTGGATTTATGCCTGGGGTTGCGCCAGTGGCAGATGGAGCCTGCTCGCCGGCAAATCTTTTGCGCGGCTGAGGCTCTTCAGGCTCATCATTGAGGATACTCATGATGTTAGACCGTTTGGCAGGCACCTGACGAGTTGCGTCTGGGGCAGGAGTAGCACTCGGGCGAGGAACATCCTTCACTGGCGACAACCCAGGGCGAGGGGACTGGGCTAGACCCATGGGTTGACCCGCGAGCGAGTAATAGGGTCTTTGGGCAAAGGGATCGCGGTGAACAGACGAGATTTCAAGTTCCGGTCTAAGCTGCTGGGTTGGCGAGCCTGGGGGCTGTGTTAAGCTGGGGTGGCGTGAGTGGGTCGATGAAAGGAGAGAAGTTGGCTGCTGTGTGGGCATGTAGGCCTGTGCGGACAAAGGTTCCATTCGTGTCATATCCGGTGGCATGGAGCCAGGATGGCGCGAGGAAATCGGTAGTTCTTGCGCACGAGAAGTGGCATGGGGCAGTGCCGAAGAGTCTCGTCTTTCCTCTGTAAAATACCCAAGGCGTGGGCCCCCTTGGATGCGGTGGGATGGTCCTCCCTGCGCGCGAATCGCGCGAGTCGACTCTTCAATTAGGGTTGCGGTAGAGGGCACTGGTGAAGCAGCAGAAGCTTGTGCGAGTGGCTGGTAGCGACCGACATTCCGGTCCTTGTCGGACGGAGGTCGTCCATGCAGGGACATAGGCTGCGGTGAGAGGCCAACAGGCTTGCCTTTAGGGAATCGTATTTCATCGATCTCGGTCATAGGATCCCCATGAGGGGCAAGTGGACGAGGAATAATAGAAGATGGAGTTGCCTCGTATCGTCGCTTTGGCGCAACACTTGGGACAGGAAGCGGTCCTGTGGCTTCACCGCGAGCCTTTTTCCCCTCTGCATCCGTCGCAATCAACTCAAAGTCTTTCTGGCCCGAGTCGAGGCGGCGTTGATAGAAGTTTTTGACCTGTTTCATACACGTTAGCCGGCTAGTCGCCAAAAGCAAACATGAGACATTGGGAAATGCAGGGAGGGTAAAAGAAAACATGGGAGAAAAAGACCTAATACATACCATCACCGTTGTCTTAGTCTTCATCCAGGCCGAGATACCCTCAAAATCACGACCAAAATGCCCCAGCAAGGCTGGGAAATCGCGCTGCTCCGGCACAGACCAGTAACTCGTTGGTTGCAAGGAGCCATACCCCGTCTCAAGCTGTTTAGCTGCCAGAGGCGGTTCAACTTCAGTAGACTCAAAGACATAAACTCCTTCTTTCGCTCGCCCGCGTCCCACCCTACCTCGTGGCATTGGCGGTAAGGATTCTTTTTCGGAACGCTCTCGTTCCCTGGCCTCATACCCTTCCAAGATATGATCTGGGGCTAATTCCATCTCGCTTCCAGGAGGAAGTGGTGCTGGCGGTACAATCGGAGGCAGGTCACCCTGGGGCATTGCGACCTGGGCCTTCGGATCCGGTTGAGTAGTGGTCTTCACACGCCGTCCACCGCGAGTGCCTCCGCCCCGTCCGCCACGCCGAGTCGATGATCTTTCCACTGGTTCACTGTCCTTGCTAGGCTGCCCCCGACGGCCAACTGGCGCGCTCTCAGCCTCGGTGGAATCCCCGAAAGTGGGCGCGGCTGCACGGCGTGGACGACCGGTGTCTGTAACAGCTGGCGGCTCCTCCTCGCCAACAAAGTCAGGTTTCACCACACCCAAGTCTGCGATGAGGGCGTTGGACTTCGGTCGTGGACCCTTTCGAGTCCCCTTGCCCCGCTTACTCCAGCGTTGGTTGAGCTTGGCCTTGTACTTAATCTCCTCCTTGGTGAGGTAATAGTGCACGATACACTGCTGGAAATTTCGACCAGGCAAAGATTCGGCAATCTTGCCCCACCGTTTTGGATGGGCCATGAAGGCATCTGTAAAGATGATATGCTCCTCTGGGGTGAAGTCATTAGGGGGCGGCACAAAGCCGAAAACATCCAGAGCCCTATTGCACTCAATGGTGTTGTTCACATCTTTGTAGATGCGAGCCTTTACCTCCCGCGGTTCGAGCATATTCGGAATGACTGCTTCACGGCCCAAATCGGGCCGAGCAGTAGCCATCTTGATTCGTCGACGTTCAAGCTCTTCTTGAGCGGAGATTTCGGAGGCTTTCAAAGCATTGAGAAAATCGAGCTCGCTATTTCCTTTGTATCGACGACCTTCGCGGCCTTCTGGCATGGGCGCCGGGGTAGTTGGAACCGTGGACACTGGGAGAGAAGCTGGACCAGGGGTCACGGACTTTTTGTCCTTCATACGATCGAGCTCCCAAATAGCCATTCGCCAAAGCTTGTAGTGAGACACATACTCATCCCTAAGGAGTGCGTTTTTTCTGAAAGCTTCCGCTTGGACCTTTGAAAGTTCTGTGCTGAACGTGTCTCTGAGATGATTTTGGGTTGCAATGTTCTCATGGTATACACGCATATCTGAGATGGGCGTTGGAGGACCCGAGCGCAAGAATGGAAGACTTTCAACAGTAACCTCATCATGAGGTATCACGGGGGGGATGATAGTTTCAACAATTGGCTCTGGTTCGCGCTCGGGGAGTGTGGAAGCAAAAGAGACCACTCGTTCAGTGCTTGGACGATTGGCTAACTCTTCATCCTCTACTGAAGACGAGGGATCCACTGGTCGATCTAACACTTGTTCGGCGAGGGGTTGAGGGGGATGCTCAACCGTCTGTTCGTTGGCTACCGTGCCAAGTAGCTGGATTTTAATCAAAAGAGCGACGATAGCCGAATCTTCCAAAGGTGATGGAGGCAATTCTGCTCGGAGTGATTCCATATCCTTTTCGAAGATCCGCTTTCTTTCATCAAGATACTCCTGGGTGAAAACAATATTCTCCCCATCTTCCTCGTCACTTGAACCTTCGAAGACTGGTATCAAGGCAGGTTTATCAGTGCCGCTCTGCTCAGAGAGTTCATTGACATCGCTTGTTTGAATGTCGACAGCCGATAAACTACGCCGGAGTGGGAGGTTCAATGATGGGGAAACAGGAGAGGGTTCTCTCGCAGGTTCATGGGGGAGAATTTCGCCATTCTCAGGCTCGTCTATATCAGGTGGTAATAGAGAGCGCGTGGCCTCATTGGCAGGGGAAACGCCTTCGCTCTCATCAATAGACTCTTGTTTCGGCGGTGCATTCGGAAGAGAAGGTGTGCGGCCGTAGCCAGGTCGAACCCATTGCTTACTACCTTTACGGCCACGCGGAGAGGGATCCTTCCATTGCAACGCTCGAGGGCCAGTTGGAATGTTAGACGATTTCATTCGAGGTGACATCGAGGGCTCACGGGATAATGCGCGTGGGGCGGGCGGTGGAATTCGTGCGAAAGTGGGGGAAGACGTGAGTGAGTTCGACCTCCCGGCCCCAAATCCTTCGTTCGGCCCTACCCCAGGGTCTGGTCGAGTCATTGCAGCTGGAGCAGTGGGTGGTGATACATCAGGGAAATTGATAGACGGTTTAGAAAGGCGGGAAGGCACAACTTGCTGTTTTCCAGCCTCCCGCGGTCCTTCAAGGCGGCTGCGAGGCTCAAGTGGCTGTGCGATCTCGGTCCTTTCTGCCTTGGGTCCTGTAGGAGGGTGGGCTGGCTGGCGTTGCGGGACTTCATAGCGGTCTCTCTCTGTGGGGAAAGTAGAAATTGGCTCTGTACGTTGGTCTGAAGAATCTTTATTTGCGGAGGCATTCGTGATGGTG